TTGTTTTGATTTTTATTTAGTAGTGCGCCTAGAAAAGTCAACTACTGAAGAACAGGTGTTTCAGTTAATAACCTTCAGTTAATTGTATACAGACATCCCCCAAACTTAGTGGAATATAATAACTCATTGATTTTATGGTCATGGACTGAGTGGGTCAGTGGGACAGCACAGTGAGGATGGTCTGTCTCTGGCCCATGGTGCTTGGAGCCTTAGCTGGGAAAATGCTATGCTCAGTCACCTCAGAGCCTGGGAGCTAACACAGTTGGGTTGCAGGGTCCACTGCCAAAGTGAGAGACATGATTAGAGGGTAAGTAATGGGTGGACTTGTTTGTCTGCAAAAAGAGGAGTCCTCTGACACTGAGGACCTCAGGTAGGGGACTGGAAGAGAGGAATGAGATTTTGAAATAGGACTGGCGTTGTGGTTAAGCTGCTGCCTGCGGCACCAGCATCCCACACTGGAGTGCTATTTTGAGTTCTGGCTCCTCTGCTTCTGATCCTGCTCCTGCACCTGGGAAAGCAGTGGAAGATGGTAGAGGTGCTTGGGTCCCTGCCTCCCATGTGAGAGGCTTAGATGAAGTTCCAGACTCCCGAGTTTCTGTCTGGCTCAGCCCAAGTCGTTGCAGTCATCTGGAGAGTGAACCAGCAGATGGAAGATTCTCTCTCTCTCTCTCCCTCCCTCCCTTTTAGAAAAAACGTTTCAAATAACCTAGAAGAGAAGAGGAATTGGGAGTCACCCAAGTCCAAGAATTCTGGGCTACTATTTAAGGCTCAACTATGTTTTGAATTTGTAGTTGCTGTAATACATGCTGTCGAGTTGCTTTTGCCTCCATACTGTGCTGGTGGAGGGCGGCAGCCAGGCAACCTCAACCTTGCAGAACTGTCAGACTCGGCCATAGCCCATCCTGGGGGTTTTTGTCCTCTTTGTCAATCTGTTTGTATATGGAGAAGGAAAAGCAGAGTTAGACTCTGAACAAAGGAGTGACGAAAGGACAGTTATCTTACTTCAGCAGATAACCAGGAACACTTCCCTCCACCTCTGCCTGTGCCCATTTGTTATCTTATTTAGTGTACACCCTTTCTCCTATCTTGGAGAAAAATTGTGCTGTCACAGCTTTACATCCAAAGCCCACGCTGATGTATTGATACTGACTACCTGAAGTACAGTGCAGTATTGTGAGAGTCCAATATCAAAGCCGAGGGCTCACGGCATGGGAATAGAGAGCACAAATGAACACAGAGAGACATTTGTCATAGAAATGGAAGGTCTGGTCATATGTCACCCTTGTCCTTGTCACCAGCTATTCCTACCCTGTCTCTCTGGAAGGAGATACTGAGGGAAATAGCAATTTCTGTTAAGATAATGATAATTGTAATAGTAAAGCTCTTTTCATTATTCCATGTTATAAATACATGATGTCACATTTTTGTAGCAAAATGTTACACTTTTGTGGAATATCTAAAAACTGTCTGACAATATGAATCTTGCAGAAAAGCATTTGGATATTTACTAAATCATTTTAAGATCCTAGTAGTCTACAGTCTTATTTGACAGGTTTTAAAATACCCTAAATGTGAGGCCTGTGAAGGAAGAACTATACTGAAGTTTGTTCCCATTCAAATCAGGAGCATATCCTGATTTGGCACCTTCTGCTCCAGGGAGATCACTGAATTGCTTGTCTTTGTTTTAATAAAATTAATTGTCCCTTCTTTCTGCTAGTTAATCGTCTCAAAAAGACAACTGAAGAAGAGATTGTACTGCCCATTTGATTATACTGACCAAGTTTGTAAAAACTATCACTGGCTATGTTTATTGGTTCTAAGATGCAGACTTCTTCAAAAAGAACAATTTTAATACTCCAAGATTTAGTTACAAATGATGGCATCCTATGACTTTACTGGAAGCATTTTTCTTATGTTTTCAAAAAAGCAATGTTTTTCCATAAAATGTGTTGCACTTTACATTCTTTGTCATCACAGATTCAGAGAAATTCAGTATGTGAGTCATAGAAAGAAGGAAAATTTGATACGTATCATTCATCCAATAGAAACTGATTAATATGCTTCTTCCCCAGTGGAATTTCTTCCTTACCAATATCATCTACCTCTTAGTTTTCACATGTAGTGTGGATGCCTGCAGAGATTCTTCTGGATGATACTTTATGTTACTTTACCTGTTTCAAGGCGCAATATTGTTTAAGGAACTGTAACTCTTGAATCATAAATTTATCAGGAGACTAATAAAATAATCGCAGTGTTTAAGTACCCGTAGCAAACATAGTGACACACTTTTATCGAGACAAATATTGAATCACGGAATTTGAAGGGCGTTCCAGACCATAAAGATGTTCCACTTTTTAGATGATAAAACTAAAATCTACTTAGATTTAATACGCAGATCCTATCCCTCAGTGTAAACAATGGAGCAAGATTATTGCCCAAGAGAACATGGAACTAAGTCATTCATCAACTCCTCCTAGTCATGGTTTATAGATCAGGCTTTGTGAAAGTTTGGAAGGAAATACACAGAATTTGAAAAATTTCTTTCTCCCTAGTAAAGGTAGGGATTTATGTAGTCTGAATCTCAAATAGGATAGCCTGAAACGTTTCATTTCAGAGCGGAAAAGCTAATCATCCTGAAACTCGGATGGAGACTTTTTTATTTTTTTTTATTTTTTTTATTTTTTGACAGGCAGAGTGGACAGTGAGAGAGAGAGACAGAGAGAAAGGTCTTCCTTTGCCATTGGTTCACCCTCCAATGGCCGCCGCGGCCGGCGCGCTGCGGCCGGCGCACCGCGCTGATCCGGTGGCAGGAGCCAGGAGCCAGGTGCTTTTCCTGGTCTCCCATGGGGTGCAGGGCCCAAGCACCTGGGCCATCCTCCACTGCACTCCTGGGCCACAGCAGAGGGCTGGCCTGAAGAGGGGCAACCGGGGCAGAATCCGGCGCCCCAACCGGGACTAGAACCCGGTGTGCCGGCGCCGCTAGGCGGAGGATTAGCCTAGTGAGCCGCGGCGCCGGCCGGATGGAGACTTTTAATACATGTGTCCTCTGAGGAATTCAGATTATTTTGTTAGATTCAAACCTCCCATAAACTATGTTATCAGAAGATCCTATGTTGCATTTGGTCATTAGTGCATGCCTAATTTCTCTAGTTTTACATACTGGAAAGATTCCTTTGTAAATGACATTGCTAGAAAATTATATAATTCTGTTGCTGAGCATTTCAAAACTTCATTTTAGGACCTCAGAATTCGTGTAGAAAGTAGTCTTTGAGAAGACTGATCCTTCCAAGGCTGGTATTTGATATTAATATTTCAAGGATGCAGCTTTAGGAAGCCGGCGCTGTGCTGCAGCGGGTTAACGCCCTGGCCTGAAGCGCCAGCATCCCATATGGGCGCTGGTTCAAGACCAGGCAGCTCCACTTCTGATCCAGCTCTGTGCTATGGCCTGGGGAAGCAGTAGAAGATGGCCCTAGTCCTTGGGCCCCTGCGCCGGTGTGGGAGACCCAGAAGAACCTCCTGGCTCCTGATCGGCTCAGCTCCGGCTGTTTCGGCCATCTGGGGAGTGAACCAGATGGAAGATCTCTCTGTCTCTACCTCTCTCTGTAACTCTGTCTTTCAAATAAATAAATAAATAAATCTTTTAAAAAAGAATGTAGCTTTATAGATTTGTTGTAGGGGGACCATTTCATAAAACCTGAATAACCACATACAGTGGCCTATTGGTTCACATCTTCTTGCAGATATGGCTTTACTAGTGTTTTTGGAAAAGAGAGAAAGTAAGGTACCCCCATCCAAATTATACTCTCAAATCTTGCTGATAAGAGAGCAGTTTCTACATTAAACTATACTTTTAGTGGATAACTAAATCATTGCATTTGTAATTCTTGCTGCAGGTCACAATAGTCAGTTTGATGATTGACACAGTGGGAAAAAACTTCCAAGAACAGAGTGTGGATTAAGGGAATAGAGTAGAGGGCATGAGAAATAGCCTAAATGTTATTTCTGTTTAAAAGAACTAAAATTCCTAAGTTGCACCTTATACATATATTTATATATTTTTTTAAACATTTATTTATTTGAAAAGCAGAGTTACAGAGGGGAGGGGGGAGAGAACAGATAACAAAGAAAGAGATCTTCCATCCTCTGGTTCACTCCCTAAATGACCACAATGGCCAGGGCTGGGCCCAGCTGAAGCCTGGAGCCAGGAGCTTCTTCTGGGTCTCCCCCGTGGGTGCAGGGGCCCAGGCACTTGGGCCATCTTCCGCTGCTTTTTCCAGGCCATCATTAGGGAGACCTGGACCTGAAGTGGAGCAGCTAGGACATGCACTGGTGCCCATATGGAATGCCAGGGTTGCAGGTGGAGGCTTTACCTACTAGGCCACAGTACCAGCCCCTGTACATGTATTTTTATCCTTGAGCTATCTGTGTTACCGTCTGTCATTTTACTTTGTTTAGCCACTATACACTCATCTGCATGGATTTCAAAATCTTTTGCATCAAGATAAACTCATCTTTTAATTCCATGAATGTCTTAAGTACCTAAACTCATATTATTACACACGCAAATTATATTTAGTACATGATCGTAGCATTTTAATTGTTAAACACAATCACTAGCCAACTATATAAAAATACGTCTAGTAACAAATATCTTAAGACAGCTTTCCGGGGTGGGGGGAACTTCCCAGAGATTGTGAACGTCAGTATCTAGATATGCATAAATCAATTTGCTTTTTTTTTCGAGTTTAAATAATGTTTATCCAGCCTTCGAGTGAGAAAAAGAACCTCCCCCACACCTTTTTTAACAGTACACAAGCAATACCATATGTCTTGGAATTTTAATTTGTTTTAGCCTGATGAGACTGATCAGAGTGGTTTGGTACCAAAACCTTTCCCTGTATCCACGGCCGTGGGAGGATTTTTTTTTTTTTTTTGAGAGACGCCCCGGTGACCTGAATTATGTGTGTGCACGTGGATTGCACACCCGTGTTTTCGAATAGGAACAGCGGGGATCAGCGCGCCACTAGCAGCCCGAAGCGCTGAGCCCGAGCCGGCTTTGCGCCGTCCTCGCACTCGGCGCGGGCCCTTCGTGTCTGCCCGACCTGCAGCACCGAGGCAGTTTCCGCGCTAAGGCAATCGCACGAACTCCTTCGGGCCACTAGGGAAATGCTCCGCTTCGTCGCGCTGCCCTAACGAAGCCAGGGAAAAAGCCGCTGGGCGCCGGGAACAGCCCCGGAGGCGCATTTCGGCGTCGGAAAGACAGCGAGGTTAAAGGGCAGCCCCTCTCCGCCGAGGCTCGCGGCCTTGGCTTTGCAAAGCTCTTCCCCCAGCTCTCACACCGAGGAACAGAGCGTGCAAGGGGCCACGGAAGGCCGCAGGAGGAAAGCCAGCAGCCCGCAGCGGCGCGGGAACACCGGCAGCCCACCCTGGGCGCCGGAGCCGGGCTCTGGGCAGCAGACCCTCTCGGCCGCAAGGTGGCACTGACCCGCGCACAAAGCCGCAGCCCGGCGGCGCCCAAGCCGAGCCGCGCTCCGGAGTCCAGGGCCGTGCCGGGACGCACGCGGGCTCGCGCGGCTCTGCCCGGACGAGTGCGTCCAGCGGTGCGCGGCTTGCGCGCGGTTGCTGGCCGTCCCCGAATTCCTAGACGATCGCGCGCCGGAGGCGAGGGGCGCGGGGCGGCGCCACGTGACCCGGGACGAGGTGGAGTCCGGCTGGAAGGGGGCGTCCCTTCCTACCTCCCCCTTCTTCAGGGTTTGAGCGGGCGGCAGACCCGCCGGTGCTTGCCCCGGACGGTGACACCCTGCCCGCTCTCATAAACGCGCATGGAAATAAAGAGCAGAAAGCCGAACAGGACGCATTCGAAGGAGGGTGAGTTTCAAGTTTCTGCGTTGGAGAGGAGTTTGGAGAAATCCCGCGGTGCTGGGCTGAGCGATGGGAGACGGAGCGGAAGGGATGCGAGCGCCGGGCACTGGCTCCGCGGCGCCGTGTTGGGGCGTGGAGTGCGCCCGGGGCTTCGCCTCCCGCTGCGGAGCGGGCGCGGGCTGCTCCCGATTCTCCCGCGGGCTCCGGGTCCCGCGCGCCCTACGGCCTGCGCCCGGGGGACTTACTGACGGACGTGCAAGTTTCCCTGTCCCCTAGAGGCCGAGGAGGTGGGCGGGCGCCCCGACCCTCCTTCTCCGCACCTCACTCTTCTCGCGCTGGGAGCGCGGCGGGGGCTGGCCGCACCGGAGCTTTTGCTGTGTCCACGGGCGGGGAGCGGCCGGGGACCGGCGGCCTGGCCCGCGCAGGTGTCCTGCTGCGGCGGCGACCCGAGCTCCGGGCCGGCCCCTGGGCCGCGCACTCCCGCGCCCTCCGGGGCTGGGCCCTTCGGGGTGCTGTCCAGCTGCCTCCGAGGGTGCTGGACCCTCCGGTCCGGTGCCACTCCCCGGTGGACACCGCGAGCCCTCCCTGTCCGCTTATTTTGGAGTTTGGACCGGGGAGCGAACTCTTGAGCTCCGTTTAGATGGTCACGAAGGAGCCTGGCGGGGTTGGGAGACAGGGGGATGGACCGCAAGGGGAGGCGGCTGGGTTGGGAGTGTCGGATGGTCCCCTCCACGTAGACGCCGAGAGATGCCGGTGTGTGGAGGGCTGAGGCTGGGCCAAGACAGAGAACCTACTTGGGGTTTGGGCTCTGCTGGTGTGTATCTCGTTGGATTGTATGTTTTCCGCTTGGCGTCTCGGGTAGAGGGCTCCTGATGGATGCGGCGGGTGAGTATGTGCGTGTGTGGGAGTGCGAGGAATGGGCGAACTGGGGCGGTGCGCCCAGTTACACAACAGGGAAGGGGTAGGCGGGTAAGCGGACAGGAATTGTGACAGAAGGCACCCCATTTCATTCCTTGGTTGCTGCCGGGGCACAGGGAACACCTGGGGGAGGAGTGTGTTTCCACATCCCACGATTTTTATTTCTGAGATCGCTCAGCGCCTCACAGGTGCACCTGCATCCCCGGAGAGAGCGAAACTCTCCCGGGAGCGCACAGTTCGGGGCGAGCGCAGAGCTTGCCTGTCTCTGCGAGGTCTTGAAGGCAGACGCGGGAGCGGCTGGTCCCAAGTGCACCCGGGCTGGGACCTCCGCAAAGCCAGAGCAGAAAGCTGTCAAGCCCAGTTTCCCTCCCAGGACTAAAGACCCAGTGCTTTGCGGTGTGGCCGATGCCTCCTTCCTTTCCTTACTGCCCTGAGGCTGTGTGTGTGCAGCCAGCCCTCCCCTGCGGGGAAGGAAACGGGAATTATGTAACTCATTTAGATAAGCCGGCAGTAACTTTGGGAGGCTGTAATGTGAGGAGCCTCACATTTCTTTTCCAAAACTAGTGAGGCAAACACCCCGTCCTGGGTATTTACAAAGTGCACACACACACACACACACACACACGCACGCGCAGAGCAGGTTAGGACCAGAGAGTTGCATTTCCAGGTAGCTAAGAGCCTTTGCCAACAGCAAGCAACGCAAGGCCAGCCTTCTAGTTGGAAAGAAGAAAAAGGAAAATCTCCTTGCAAGAGGGTGCATTGCCAGCCGGTTATGTAGGTAGTATCTCTGTTCTGTCTCTAAATGCACACTCCTGCTATCCTGACATTTAGTGGGCTTCAGTTTCTGCAGGGTCTGTAGTTGCACAGCTGATTTTACAAATGTGCATCAGAACGCTAAGTATCAAAATGTTTCTTTTGCAAAGAGATCTGTAAACTCTGAGTACTGTTATTTTCTGACAGCTATTCTTTCCTGAAATTATGCTAAGGTAAACTGAACATACGCATTTTATCCAGTGCAACCTGTTTTACCCAACTGGAATGACTACACAAGGCAGAAGAGGCTTGCAAATGCTTAAAGTTGGCATTTTCTGTATAACTAAGTTAACTTCTACTTAGTAGGAAAACTGCTATTCCGATATAATTTAAAAGGTATCAGGGTAGAGTTTCTGAATGTTTACCTCAACTCACCTGCAAGAAAGCTGTCTTTGTAGTCCGAACATAGCAATAATTTAGTTACGTGTTTGCTTGGGTTCCTATCTGTATTGATTTTTGGCAAAGCCAGTCAGTGGATATAAAATTTGAATTTATTGTTCTTTCCACTGCAGACACCTTCGTCTGTGCTATTGGCTCTCGCCTTTATGATTGTGCTAGCCTCCTAATGAATCTCTCTAATTCTCTTTCCCTTGGATATGTTGAAAACAGAGCTAGTGTGCTGCTTTCAGAACAAAAGTCATATAACTTCATTCTTTTACCCACGACTCTGCAGCGACTCCCTGTCTCAGATGGATGGCAAAGACCAACCCCATAGAAAATGGCCCTGCATGGTCCAGGTTGCCAGTCTCTGCCCTGCTGTTAACTTCCTAACAGTTTCTCTCTTATTTGTCCCACTTCCCATTGCCGTTCAGCACAATAGGCACACTCTACCCTTAAGGATTTTGCAGGTGTTCTTTCCACGTAGGCTGTTTCCCTGAGATACCTGCATGTCTTTCTTACTCACCACTCTCCAGCATTAACTCACGTACCACCTTCTTGGCCAACGGAAGGCCTTCCCCTATCATCCAGTAATTTTTTGTCCTAACAGTGCTAGTGCCCCTTCCTTGATTTATTCTCTCCCTGACACACAGTCATTTGGCATACTGTAATCTTCACTACTTTATTTTTTCTTATCTTTCTTTGTGCATGAGAACAGAAACTCAGTTAAAAAAAAAAAAAAGCCTTGTCCACTAAAACTTTGCCTGACATAAAATATGTGTTAAATAAATATCTGTTGGATGGATATTTATTCTTTCAGAAACAACTTTTAACAGAAATGACAGATTTCCCCCAAATACCCAATCTAATAGAAAAACTATTATGACTATCATTTATTTTACATGCAAAAGGAGCATGATAGAATTGCACTCTGGATGTCAACATCAGCTTACACAAGAATGTACTATTCTAGCCATGCATCTACGATATTAGTTGACAAATTTTGATTATAAATCTGATATTTTCAGAGTACTATGAAGTATACACAATGGGTACCTTAAATTATATTAAAATTGATAGGAGCTAATTAGAGTGCTTTGAAAAGTAGAATTTGGACTGGGGATGAGACAGAGAACACTGAACAAGAGGAACTGCAGGGGTGAGATGCAGAGCTTTGTTTGGTATACTGTCAATAGACTGGCCTGCTCATACTCAGCCTTCGTGTTGGGGTTATTGGAGCGAAGAGCAGAGGGGAAGCATCATGTAGCTGTCTTCAGGTGTCAGGCTGAGGAATGAACACTCCCGCACCACCTACTAGATTCCAGTTAATGACAGATGGTATTTACAGGCATCCTGGATGTGTAGTAGTCTATTCCATGTAGCTTTGACTGCGCACACCTGGAATGTTCCCACACCGTGAGACAGTCTACCACCACCACTGTCAGAGCGAAACTGCATCACTGACATGTGACTGTACTCTGCAGTCCACCCCTCCTGTCACAACGGGGTCCTCATTCACCTGGTGACAGGGAACCATGAGATAGAGCAGATGTACTTCGTTATGGTGTCACTTTCATGATGAAGAAGAACCCATCACTAATGCATTAGTAATGTCAACTCTTTCTGTACTTAACCTGAAGCAGGTGGCTAAACTTCCTTGAATTCTTCAAAAAGCAAGACATGCCCCCAAGACTCTTCAGGTTGTTGCATGCTGCTTCAACATTTGTTCTCAGACCCTCACTGACACTGATTGCTCATTCTGTCTTTGAAATTCTTGAGAGAAAGGGTGTGATTGCCACATAAGTTTTGGGGAACCTTTGCAGGTTGTTGCAGGTAAGAAGAGCCATATCTTCAGTAACATTTTATACCTGAAATCATTCTATTACCATTTGTTAATACTTTCATTTGGATTTAATTATAGCAGCCTTTTTTTTTTCATTTGTATAAGGCTAAGTCATGTTTCACAATAAAAAACACCTCACATTTGAAAAACAAAAACACTAAAGGAAAAGATTCATCAAAGGCATCACTTAAAAGGAAAATAAAATTTTTGTTCATTAAATTACTTTTCCTCCTTTCAGTGGAAGTAAATTTGTAAGATTTTCTTTTTTGTACTCACATAAGAAGAAAGACATGCAATTCAGTTTCTTACTGTGGGCACAATGCCTGTTAATTTACAGTTAATTTAGTAATCAGTTTTTTTAAGGGCGCCTTTAATTTCTTCAACATTGTGATTTTCTCGTTGGTGAGAGAATAGTTATAGCACAGAGTGCTGTGAAAAATGAAAATCACAACTGAAACCTAGATCCACGAGTTGCATTGCATGTAGTCTGGTGCAGTGGGAGGATCCATGGAAAAAACCTTAGAAATCCTCTGAAAGTTTCTGACATAGTAATAAAACCATAGCATCTTCAGCCCAAATCTGCTACACAATGAAAGTGTGATCTTTAATGCAGTTGTTATAACCTCTGTGTATGGAGCACTTGCTAGTTTTGAATATAGTTTATTCCATTTGATTAAATTTTTGTTCTTCAGAATGGTATTATTTTTAAAAATAAATGCACTCCTTTGTCCTATGTCTGACTTCTGTGGTTTTGCTATGATAGTCTAAGCCCTGTTGTCTTTTCTGTACAGAGCACTCACTGAAATATGAGGAGACATCTGTGCCCTTCCTGTTAAGTATTTCCTGGATTAAATATCATGTAGTCTTTCAAAAGTCCCTCCTGTACAAAGTTTTTTAATGTGCTATTGCATTAATCATTCTCCTTTGAATATACTTGTGCTCAATAATGTCTGTCTTACAACGCAGTCCAGTATAGGGTAGAGTTATTCCTGCAGTTTGACTGCTACACTAATTCGTCCATTTCTATAGCACGAGGGAGATTAGATATTTTGTTTCATCTTATTTGGCTTTGTTTCCTATGTATGTTTTATGTTTAATTGGTGCATTGAGTTTTTTGTCATATTCACATCTTACAGTGTTTAGGAAGGTAGTGCTGTGTGTGTCAGACTTCAGACGTGATACTCACATATTCATTACTTATAGACTATTGTGTTTTGCCGAAACTCCATGTATGAGCAAATCCAATTAAAAATAGTGCTAGATTTTTTTTCAAATGTTTGCAGTGTTTCTGCTATTTTAAAAGGATGCTTACAGGTTTACATTGTGTTTATTTTTGTGTCTTTAAACCGTTATGTGAGTCAGAATTCATTTTGATTGCCCTCAGTAAAATTAGTAATGCGACATTTTCTCTTTACAGATCGTTCAGTTCAAGGGAACGAAGAATTCGGAATAATTTTGATGAATGCATTCCAGTATGGGGAATAAGAATAAACTGAATGGTTGACCTGCTTGCAAGAAGCATACTGTCCAATTTTGTAAAGTAATATATAACAACCAAATCAATCAAAATGAATTCTACGCTGTTTTCACAGGCTGAAAATCACTCAGTTCACTATAATGTTTCAGAGAGGAACTCCCAGTTTTTGGCTTTTGAAAATGATGATTGTCATCTGCCCTTGGCCGTCATATTTACCTTAGCTCTGGCTTACGGAGCTGTGATCATTCTCGGGGTGTCGGGAAACCTGGCTTTGATCATGATCATCCTGAAACAGAAGGAGATGAGAAATGTTACCAACATCCTGATCGTGAACCTCTCCTTCTCAGACTTGCTTGTGGCCATCATGTGTCTCCCCTTCACATTTGTCTACACCTTAATGGACCACTGGGTCTTCGGTGAGACAATGTGCAAGCTGAATCCTTTCGTGCAATGTGTTTCAATCACGGTGTCCATTTTTTCTCTGGTTCTCATTGCTGTGGAACGACACCAGCTGATAATCAACCCGCGAGGGTGGCGGCCCAACAACAGACACGCTTACATAGGCATTGCTGTCATTTGGGCCCTTGCTGTGGCCTCTTCCCTGCCCTTCCTGATCTATCAGGTCCTGACTGATGAGCCGTTCCAGAACGTGACGCTCGACGCCTTCAAGGACAAGTTCGTGTGCTTTGATAAGTTTCCATCGGACTCTCATAGGTTGTCTTACACCACTCTCCTCTTGGTGCTGCAGTATTTTGGCCCACTGTGTTTTATCTTTATATGCTACTTCAAGGTAAGAAGACTGAACTTAATTTCCCTTTTTACCTTCTGGGCACAGAACTCCTCCTAAAATGAATAGTTCTATTTGAACCCATTATCTTTTCTTTCATAGATATACATTCGCTTAAAGAGGAGGAACAACATGATGGACAAGATGAGAGACAACAAGTACAGGTCCAGTGAAACCAAAAGGATCAACGTCATGCTGCTCTCCATCGTGGTAGCGTTCGCCGTCTGCTGGCTGCCTCTCACCATCTTTAACACTGTGTTTGACTGGAACCATCAGATCATTGCCACGTGCAACCACAACCTGCTGTTCCTGCTCTGCCACCTCACGGCAATGATCTCCACCTGTGTCAACCCCATATTCTATGGATTTCTCAACAAAAACTTCCAGAGGGACTTGCAGTTCTTCTTCAACTTCTGTGACTTCCGCTCCCGAGACGATGACTATGAGACGATAGCCATGTCCACTATGCACACAGATGTTTCTAAGACTTCTTTGAAGCAAGCAAGCCCAGTCGCATTTAAAAAAATCAATAATGATGATAATGAAAAAATCTGAGACCACTTGTACATGACATCTGTTTAAAAGCAAGCACAACCTGCAACATGCTTTCATTACCTGTTCTCCCAAGGAATGGGGGTAAGATGACTTGAGAAAGGCTGATATTTTCTTGTCTTGCTTTTCTACTGCTTTTGTTAAAGCTGTCATGATTATACTTGGAACAAAAGGTGTACGCTCTGGGATCTGCTGGCAATTAATTTGACCAGATTTCCTTGAAGTGCTTTTCAGGAACTTATGCACATACTATAAAGACTTTTATACTGTATTTATTGGAATGAAATTTCCTTAAAGTATTACTATGGACTGACTGACTTCAGAAATATTAGCCACGTGATACTCTTAACAGACGGGGCCATTTTGATTATGGCTGCAGAGGTGGAGAGATCGGAATGCAGCACTCTGCACCTGGAGCTGAAGGGGATTCTGAAGTTATTCAGGAGTGATTTGCATTTTTCGTTTCCTATTTTAAGAAAGCACTAAATTTGCTAATTGAGTATCACTGTAAGTTAATATAAAAATGCATAGACAATGCTCTTCAGCTGCAAATATCATAGGGAATTGAGGGGCCGGTGCTGTGGCGCAGCGGGTTAATGCCCTGGCCTGCAGTGCCGGCATCCCATATAGGCACCGGTTCTAGTCCCAGCTGCTCCACTTCCGATCCAGCTCTCTGCTACTGTGAAAGCAGTAGAAGATGGCTCAATTCCTTGGGCCCCTGAACCTGCGTGGGAGACCTGGAAGAAGCTCCTGGCTCCTGGCTTTGGATTGACACAGCTCTGGCCATTGCGGCCAATTGGAGAGTGAACCATCGGATGGAAGACCTCTCTCTCTCTCTCTGCCTCTCCTCTCTCTGTGTAACTCTTTGAAATAAATAAGTAGATCTTTAAAAAAAAAAAGAATAAAGGGAGAAAGCAGTTCTCTCACTTCAAAACTCTTTTGGTACCTGATAACCAAAGCATTTCAGAGTGATCAGAATTTAGTACTTAAATTAATATTGCTGCAGATAGTTGAACTATATCCATCTGAATGGATGGGCAAGGTGTTTTCATTCTTTACAGACTGTTCAGTGTTCGTCAAGCTTTCTGACATAAACATGTCTTTCAAAAGGCATTTCCAGCTTACAATATATAGAAACACAAAATGTATTTTCCATTCAGCAGTGCCTATATAGTAAGTCACTTTTAACTTCCATTGTCCATCTTTCAAAGCAGAGGACAGCAAGGGACAATGTGAAAAGAATGTTTACTCTGGGTAGCAGGGATAAATACATAAGGAGTTCTTGTATCCCATGTTAACTTGTAAACACTGTGTGACTTGTGGAGTTTCATAAACCACACACTAGTTAGAGTACTGAGTAGTTGTGTCATGTTAGTATACTTAATTTCATGTATCTTGTAATCACAATTGAGCCTGAGAGTCACTTGGAGAAAAGAGATTTTGAAGAACAAGGTGTATGTATCTTCAGTGTATTATATGACAAAGTATTAAATGTGTTTGTTTTAGAAGGGCAGACACACTCATTAAAATTGTTTTGCTTTTTCTGAGCAATCTCTCGTGTCCCTCTTCATTTCATTTATGTTGTCTTGTGACTTTCCCGTCACTCACTGCCTCCTGTATCTGCTTACTAATGACACATTTTCTGCCCTGTGGTAGAACCACTGGCAGCCCAGTCACCCTCCATTGCTACATTGTAAGTTTCTTCAAGGCGGGACTGTCTAACATGACTGTTTCCAGTGCAAAGAGCACAGTGCCATATATTTAGGAGTTTCCAAAAAATATTTCTATAATGAATAAATAATGAAGAAATGCTCTTTTGCCCTATTAATGATCATATATAGAATTCACATGCTGATGCTTTCTTGGATTTTTCTTCCTAAGTTGTTCTTTCTTAGGAAAGAGTTTTCTCTTTTACAATATTAGTTTCAGTCCTAGTTTAAGCAAGAATCACATTTTAGATTTTAGAAACTTGCATTGTTAGCTTTGTAAATCAATTAAAGAGCACACATTTTACTTTGAGTGCTAACATAAAGTCATATTACAGTCTAAGAATGGTGTTTTAGTCACTTAATAAACAACTGGAGGCAAGCATTTGGTCCAGTGGTTAACTTGCTGGTTAAACACTGCTTAAGAGACTTGCACCCCATATTAGAGTACCTAAGTTCCACAGCTGGCCCTAGTTCGTGACTCCTAGTCTGCTAATTCAGACTCTGGGAGGCAACAGAAATGGCTCAAGTAGTTGGTTTCCTGTCACCCAGGTAGAAGACACAGTCTGAATTTCCAGCTCCCAGCTTCAGCCCAGCCCAGCTCAGTGGCTGCTGCTGTGGGCATCTGATGAGTTGACCAGCATATGGGAACTCTATTTCTCTGTCTGTCTTTGCCTCTCAGACAAGTCTTTTAAAAAGGAAGGAAGGAGGAAAGACACTTGTAAAACTGACCTTTATGTTTACCAGAAAATATCATCTTTCCTTACTTAAATTGCTTGATATTTCTCTCCTTTTTGGTGAATAATGAGAAGATCTGTCATTCTCTACTTAGGTACTTCTTCAGAAGTCAGTTGCTACTTGGATCTGTCTTAATTTGTCAATACTTCTTTGTCTATACTATTTCTAGAATTCTTATCCAGCTTGTATAGGCTGCTGATTCCTTAACATAAATAACAAACTGAGTATCAGATTCTTATATTTTATCCAAAAATGTTGTGAGTTAACAGTAAAGTCTAAGCTTAGCCACAGACACATTGAGCTCAAGAAGAAATAATTGGCCATATTTAACATGAACTATGGAATCACTGATTTTTATAAATCTAAGAACAAAAGTTAATTATTAGCTTAGTAGAATTCACAGTTGTAATCAAAATGTAGAATAAAGTGATAGTAGCTGCAATTTTTAAGGCTTGGTATATGCCAAGAACAATGTAAGGACTTAAGTACCTATGTAGATGTAGTGACTGATATTGTTGACACTGCACATTAAGAGGAAACTGGTGTTCAAGTTGAAATATTTGAGCCAAATGGTAAAGAAAAGGTGGAGCAAGAATCAAACCCAGGTCTGTCTAGTGCTACCTATTCACCAAGCTCTACCTACCATAGAGTTTTAGAAAATACTTGTTCTTCTGTCTCTACAAGTTACTTTACAGGCATAATCATACTCTAATAATGCAGAAAATTTTGCAGAAAGGAATGGAATGAAGTAGAAGGCTTGAGAAAAGAAGGCCATCATGATTGTACATTCGTAATCTCCCATGAATTAGAATATTCTGCTTAAAAATAGAGGATGATTATTCACACTTGTTTTCTGTGAATTGGATAGTCTATCCTCTTTTCTAGTCTAAAATTCCTAAGCAAATATAAATATATATATTATAATTTCATTTCCAAATTTTATAGCCAAATTAATTACATATTTGGATAATGACAATTTTTCTTCACACACAATGAAAATGGTGAAACAGGCAGGTTCAGGATGGAGTTCCAGGAATAAGTCCGCCCTTGTGCCAACATTGCCAATTCAGTGAGGTTAAGCATACTGTTAGGTTTTTCATCACAGCCAAGCTTGCTTTCCTTAGCAATTAAGGTTCCTGGGAGAATGAAGGTAGTTTCTTAGTGTGATTGGATTCTTTCACAGTCTCAATGTTTTTTTATTTGCTTATTCCCTGTGGTTCATCAAACAACACATTGGTCTTAATGAGAATAACAGCATAGCATACCTAGGGCAAATGAATAAGGTTTCCCAAATTTTGTTCATTTAATCATCATTTTATTAACATATATGTAAGTACTTCTCACATATTGTATGACTATGAATATATATGCATACATATATGTGTATCTATGTGTGTACATACATATAACTTGCATAATCCCATAATAGGTTTGTTTTCATTGCTATTCATTTCTTGATTATTATGAAAGTTATCATGTATATAGTACTTACCACAAACTACTCCCTAAATTAGTCCTATTGTTGTCTTCATTTCAGAGATATGAGATGAGGCAGAAGAGGCTATGTATGTATGCCCAGTGTTAGTTGACCAGGAAATTACAGAGAAATCCAGGTAGTTTGTTTCCTGAGTTTTAATATGACTTTAAGCAGCAAACTGTAGGAATGTCCCCCACACATCAACCTCTGCCTGAATTTCCCAAACTCTGCTTCTCCTGTCTTCCCACTATTGGACCCATATATGAATCCAGGACATTCTAGAGAGAGAGAAAAAAATACCTGTTTTTCAAAACCCTGATCTGAGATATAAGATAAACTTTTACTTTGGTGGTGGAGGTATAGTTGTAGAATTGAGACACAAATCTGTTCCATTCAAAGATGATCACTGAAATCTGGTTTTCTTTTTCTAGCAGTCTGTTTTTTTAGTCCTTCTCTACTAACAGGTGCTTTTTGGCAGAGCCTTTAAAAAACAAAAATAACTATATTTTATGAAATGACTATGTTAATCAAAAATAGTGCTGGAATTTTGTTTATCTGAGGAATGAAATTTGTGAGGGTCATTTGAATTTCTTGCCATTTTCCTCATTATTTTATTAGTGAGACAGAATTGAATACCGTAAAAGGCACTTTTTAAACCATACATTCAGTGGTTTGAGTTTATTAACAGGATTGCTCAATCATCATCCCTACTTCGACAGCATTTTCATTACTTCATAAATAAACCCCAGCTTCCACTTTCTGGTCTGGCTGAGTTTGTCAGAACCTTGGATGTTGTCACTCTATCCTAACAACAAAAGGTGGAACAAACTGAAAAACCAGAAACTCTTAGGACTCATGGGGAAATGAGATCACAGGGAACACTGTTACTCTCTTGACTGGGGAGAAAGGCCAGTAGAGAGGAGCACCGTTCAACAGACAGAGAACCCTGCAGCAGAAATCTTTGTGAGAATCAGTGCCTGGGTAGGAAAATCTATGGAAAAGTCTGAGAGTTCAAAACAAAACAAACAATCAATAGAAAACTCCCGAGAGACTCAGTTCTGGTGGGGATACCCTGATTTTATGAGGCTTTACCTCCAAGAATTCAACCAAGTTCTCATAGGGAATCATGGAGAAGAAATGCATTGTATTTCTGGTCAGGAGTGAGGAGGAACTATTTTGAAATAGGACACAGGAGTCTGTTCTCAAAATAAAGCCTACTCTCGAGAGACACTATTTTACCAGAGTGTAAACAGTTAGTTGTTAAGGGATCTGGGAGACTCCATCCCTGTTCAACCATCTGTCCCACCTAATGGGGGAGGAACAACCGAGATGCGCTTGTAAAGTTCACAGTTCCGAGGCTCAGCAAAAGACAGACTGAGGCCTGCAGGATGACTCCCCATTCCTCGCACCTTACCACCACAGCATCAAAGACCTATTTCTAGCAATTCTTTTATCTAGTACCTCATGTCCAGCTATCAAGTACAAATTACAAGGTATACCCAAAGGCAAAAACACAGTTTGAAGAGACAGAAGGCATCAGAACCAGGCTCAGCTATGGCAAAGATGTCAGACTTTTCAGACTTGGAATCTGAAACCATACAATTAAAATGCTAAGGATTCTAATGAATAAAGTAGGCAGCACACAAGAACAGATGTACAATGTAATCAGGAAGACGAGAATTCTAAAAAAGAACGTGAAATGCTAGAGAGCAAAAATACTATGACAGTAATAAAGAATGCCTTTGATAGGCTCACTGGTAGAGTTGACATGGCTGGGGAAAGAATCTCTGTGCTCAAGGATATGTCAGTAGGAACATCTAAAATAGAAAAGCAAAAGAGTGGCCCGCATAGTGGCGTAGAGGGTAAAGCTTCCGCCTGCAGTGCCAGCATCCCGTATGGGTGCTGGTTTGAGTCCCGGCTGCACCATTTCTGATCCAGCTCTCTGCTATGGCCTGGGAAAGCAGAGGATGGCCTAAGTCCTTGGAAGACCCAGAAGAGACTCCTGGCTCCTAGCTTCAAATTGGCACAGCTCTGGCCATTATGGCCAACTGGGGAGTGAACCAGTGGATGGAAGACACCCTCCCTCTCTGTAACTCTTTCAAATAAATAAATAAATAAATCTTAAAAAAAGGAAAAGCAAAAGAACACCTGGGAAAAACTGAATATCTGAGAACTGTGAGACAACTATGGAAGGTATACCTTCAGCAGAATGGGGCTATCAGAGTGCAAAGAAAGATGGAAAAGAGCAGAATAGATATTTGAAGCATCATGATAAGAAATTTCCCCAAGTTAATGTCAGACACAATACCACAGACTTAGAAAGCCAGAAAACAACAAGCAGGATAAATACCAAAAAAGGTATACCTAGGCATATCATTTTCAAACTACAGAAAATCTAAGATCAAGAAAACAATCCCAAAAGAAGCTAGGGGAAGGAAGGGCTTACCCATAAAGGAACAAAGACTAGAATTATACCAGCTTTCTCTCCACAAACCATCAAAACACGAAGAGAGTAGAGAAAAATATTTAAAATGTTAAGAGAAAAAAAACTACCAAGCTAGAATTCTGTGCCTTGTAAAATTATTCTTAAAGAATGAAGGTGAAATAAAGACTGTCTCAGAAAATCAGTATGAGAATTTGTAGCTATTAGACCTGCCTTGCAAGAAATGTTAAAGGAATTCTTGAGGGAATTAAAATAGGATAGCTTAGAAACCCAGATCTGCATTAGGAAAGAAAGAGCATGAAAGGGGAAAAAAGTAAAGGTAAAATAAAAACTTACTTTTCCTGTTCTTAATTGTTCTGATAACAGTTTGTTCACATACACTATAATAGCTACAATGTATTCAATTAAGCACACAGCCATCTGTTACATGACAATATTTTGATTGACAGGTCACATGTATGACAGTGGTCACATAAGATTGCAATGGAGCCGGTAAATTCCTATTGCCCAGCAGTGTTTTAGCCTTTGCAGCATCATAGTGCAAAACGTTACTCATGTGTTTGTGGTGATGCTGGTGTAAAAAGCACCTCATGTGTGGCCTGTGTGGCTAGTTGTGTAGCAGTGTAGCATATATAATTACACACAATATGTAATACTTGATAATCCTAATAAACAAGTATGTTACCAGTTTATATATTTACCATATTATGCTTTTTAAAAATTTTTATTAATTTGAAAGAGGGAGGGAAGGAGAGAGGATGAGAGAGAGAGATGTATTGAGAAAGAAAGAGGAAAAAAAAAAAGAGAAAGTTTCCATCCTATGATTCACTCCCAAAATGTCTACATGTTTGGGTTGGGCCAGGCTAAAGCCAGGAGCCAGAAACTCAATCCAGGTCTCCCATATGTATGGCGAGCCATCACTGTAGCCTCCCAGAGGCTGCATTAGCAGGAGGCTGGAATCGGAAACTGGAGCCAGGTGTTGATCTGATACCCATGAGCATCTTAACTGTCATTTTAATTGCAAGGCTAAATGCCTGCCCCTTCCATGCTTTTTATCATTATCTTGGAGCACACTCTTTCTCTTACACAAAAAGTTCTCTGTAAAACAGTTACTGTGTTACACTGGCAGCAGCCTCACAGATCTTGTGCTTGTGTAAGTGCACTGTATGAGGTTTACACAATGAAGAAATAATTCAATGTCGTATTTCTCAGAATATGTTCCCACTCTTAAGTGGCACATGACTCTACTTATGTATTATTATTTACAGGTACAATTATATAAAATATGTTTATATGTAAGTGAAATGAATGGTAACAGTGACACAAGTGATATTAGGGAGGAATTCAGATTATTTTATTATTATAAGGCATTAACACTATCTGTGAAGTGGTACTCACATAGTGTTACATGGTCATGGATTAGTTGCAAATTCTAGGATAACCATTAAAAATAACAAAAAAAATATAGCTGATATGCTAAGAAAGGAAAGGAAATGTACTAATATAAAATTTTCAATTAAGACTACAAAAACAGGAAAAGTAGAGAAAAAATTGAATAACAAAGGCAACCAATAGAAAATATCCATAAATATGATAAATACCAATCCAACAGTACCAATAACACTTCTGAATGTCAGTCATCTAAATGCACCAATTAGTAGACAAAGACTGGATTAAAAACCAAGAACTAGGTTGTGTGTTTGGCACAGTGGGTAAGCTGCTATCTGCAATACCCTCATCCCATACCTAGGCTAAGTCTTAACTCTAGTATAGATTCCAAATTCCTGGTAACCTGCACCCTGGAAGACAGTGGTGATAGTTCAAGTATTTGGGTTCTAGCCAGCCATGTGAAAGACCTGGATTGAGTTCCTGGATCTTGGCTTTAGCCTAGCTGAGCTCTGGCTATTATGGACATCTGGAAAGTGAACCAGAAAATGGCAAAATGGCAGATTATCTCTCTCTCTTCCTTTTAAATAAATTAAAAGAAAAATAAGAACCAACTGTTGTATTCATTTTATTATTTGTGTGTGTGCAAAGTGAAAGAAAGCTATTAAATGAAAGATAGATCTCCTAGCAGTTGGGAGGGGATCCAAGAGGGTTGCTGATGAAGGGCTGTGTCTAGGGGTTTTTATGGGTTTCTAAATGAGGAACCTCATCCAATACATGTATATTAATGTATATAAATAAGGCAAAACCTGTGAATTAATAAGGGGACTGATATCCAGTAGTCTATCTTACGTAGATGAAGATTTCACAATGCTCAATCAGGTCTGTGATGGGCATGACTCTCAGCAGATGCAACCAAATCTCCAGACAGGAGCCAGTGTTGTGGTGTTGAGGGTAAAAGCACCACCTACAACGCTGGCACCCCATGTGGCTTCCACTTTGTGTCCCTGTTGCTCCACTTCCAACCTAGCTCTCTGTTGATAGCCTGGGAGAAGCTGTGAAGGTTGCCCAAGTGCTTGGGCCCCTGCTATTCATGTGGAAGACCTGGAAGAAGTCTCTTGCTCCCAGCGTTAGCCTGACCCAACCCTGGCCATTGCAAACACTGGGGGAGTGAACCAGGGGATGGAAGATTCTCTCTCTCTCTCTCTCTCTCCCCCTTCCCTCCATGCGTGTTTGTCCCTCTCTCTCTCTGTAACTCTGACTTTAAAATAAATAAGTCAATCTTTTAAAATATCTGAAGATTATGTTGTATATATTTGAATATATTTCTTCTGTCTCTCAGGATGCCTGAAGTTTAATACCATGTATGTTTCTTTTCTTTCCAGTGTCCTCTGGAGTCCCTATCAATCCCCCTCTGCAGAGGCAACTCTGCCTTTAGGGAAAAGAGCAACAACTGGTCTGGCTGCTTGGGGGGGGGGGACACTGTTGAGGGGTCCCTGGTAGAAGGAGGTTTTCATGTGAGGTTCCATCTGCATGACCATCTAAAGCTTGATTGGCTCTAAATGAGAGGGCAGGAACTGGATTAGGAGATTTGAGGGACAAGGACCAAGACTCAGGGCTATCAAGAACAAGAGAAGAGGGGCCATCAGAGGCCATAACCACCTGGGGAGCTGGCTTTTTATCATGGGTTAGCACCTTTCAGAGAAGTCCTCTGTCTTGGTGATGATGTCTTCAGCCCTTTCCCGGTGCATGGCCACCTGTCCTACGTTGTTTATATAAAAACAACCTTCTTCCTATTTAGGTAGACACAGGTCCCTCAGCTTGTGCTGCCAAGAAACCAAAAGCTTCTTGGTTTTGGAGGACTTGTCCAGCCAGGCAATCTACCCGTTGCTTTGACTTTCTTATTCCTTCTGAAGTCGCTTTTGTAGCTTTTGCCAACTGAATTGAGAGATGGGCTAAGGTTCTCCCATAGCGACCCCTGCTATGCTGGCTAGGCTGTCAGCAGAGGAACTAAGATTGGTGCTGTATCAGTTCTCAGGGGTCAAAGATAAGAGTACTTAAAGACTCACAGCATGGGTGTGTCCCCAGGGGCATAATCTGCAGTGGGGACTGGAGGTGGGAGGGGGCAAGAATACTGGCAGACCCCCAGTTTCCACAGACAAAAAGGAATCCTTGTTCAGGGTCAAAAGACACACTTTAAATATAAAGAACATATAGATTAAAAGTAAATGTATGTAGAAAGACATATCACACTGACCCTAGGCAAGAGTAGGAGTAGCTATGTTAATTTCAGACAGGGGAGAATGCAAAGGAAGGGATGTTTTCAGGGATGCAGAGAGTCATTACGTAATGATAAAGTAGCCAGTATTTCAAAAAGACATAATAATCTTTCATATGCATATGCTAACAACAGAGTGTCAAAATATGTGAGGCAAAAATTGGTTAACTACAAGGGGAAATGGATGAACCCACTACTGTACCTGGAGATGTCAATAACCCTCTATCAGAAATGGATTGATAACAGTAGGCAGAAAATCAGTAAGGACATGGTGGAACTAAGAATACCATCAGCCATCTGGTGAAAATCTATGTCCATTGACTATGTCATCCAACAACAAAACATGCAAATATTAAACAACATAATTCCAAACAGCACATGATTAAAAAAATCTCAAGAGAAATTATAAAAACACAACCTATCAAGGTTTTGTAAATGCCATTAAAGCAGCACTTAGAGTGAAATTTGTAGCACTGAATGCATATATTGATAAAGGGAAAGATATAAAATCAACCATGTAAGGTTCTGCCTTAGAAAACTAGAAAAAGAGCAAGATAAATTCTAGGGAAGCAGAAGCAAATAAATAATAAGCTTTACAGCAGAATTCAGTGAAATTGAAAACAGGGAATCATAAAGGCAATTAATGAAACAAAAAGTTCGTTCTTGAAAAGATAAATAAAATAATAAACATGTAGTCAGTCTAATAAAAACACAGGACACAATCACTAATATCAAAAAATGAAAGAGGACATCACTACAGATCTTGTGCATATGAAAAGAATAAAAGAATAATATGAACAAGTGTTTTACCACAAACCTATCACCTAGTTTAAATGAATTAATTATCCAAAAGACACAATCAGCCAGAATCTGAATATATATATATATATATTTATATACTCTCAAAATCCACGTACATGTATTAAAGAAATTGAAGCAATAGTGACTAACCGTCCAAAACACCAAGTGCCTGGCCCAGAATGGTTCAATGACGAATGTAGACCACATTTGATGAAGAAGTCATCCAGATCCTTTACAATCTCTTTCAGAAGTTAGAAGCAGAGGGAACATTTCTCCAAGGCCAGCATTACCTGAGTACCAAAATCACACAAAGACATGAAAAGAAAAGTATCACAAACCAATATCGCTCACATAGATACAAAATCCTCATCCAGATATCGCCAAATTAAATTGAACAAAATATAAATATAATTATGCTCCATGACAAGTGATACTTATCCTAGATATGCAAGGCTGGCTTAATATTTGCAAATCAATTAAGATCATCCATCACATCAACAGGCTAAAGGAGAAAAATCACACAATTATATCCATAGATGCAGAAAAAGTCTTTAAAAAATCCAATATCCAGGGCCGGCGCCGTGGCGCACTAGTTTAATCCTCCACCTGCGGCACTGGCATCCCATAAGGACGCCGGGTTCTAGTCCCGGCTGCTCCTCTTCCAGTCCAGCTCTCTGATGTAGGCTGGGAGGGCAGTGGAGGATGGGCCAAGTGCTTGGGCCCCAGCACCCATGTTGGAGACCTGGAAGAAGCACCTGGCTCCTGGCTTTGGATCGGCGCAGCTCTGGCCATTGCGGCCATTTGGGGAGTGAACCAATGGAAGGAAGACCTTTCTCTCTGTCTCTCTCTCTCACTGTCTTGTCGCTCCCCCTCTCGTGGAGGAAGGACACTGGACCCTGCGCTGTTCTTTTGTCTGCTCGGCCCTTCCCAGATTAGCTGCCATTCCCTCACTCGCGGAGGAACGACGCCGTCCTGGGTTAGCTGCCGGCCCCTCCACCTCCGTAGAGGGGCGGCACCCCCCGCCGCTTTCCCCACTTCCGTGGAGGAGCGGCACACTGCTGGCCGGCTCTCTTGGGGGCTGCACAGATGTTATCCAGATGTTCCTGGTGCATGGTGTCTCTCTCCTCCTTTATAGTCCTCTTCCACCAATCCATGCTCTGCTGCCCACACGCCAAGCACGCTGCTCTCCTCCAATCAGGAGCAGGATCAGCTCCTGCAGCTCAATCAAATTGGCGAGAGGCAGCTGTGTAGAAGTTGTTTACTCCTCTCCCAGCGCCATATTGTGGGAGAGCAGATGCATAGAATAAGTCTTAATTCCAGTAACTTAGTCTAGTCCGAGTTGCTCCCCACACTGTCTAACTCTGTCAAATAAATAAATAAAATCTTTTAAAAAAAAGTCCAATATCCACTAATGATAACAACTACTCTAAGTAAACTGGGAATAGAAAAACAAAAAATACTTCCTTAACTTGTTAAAGGACGTCTACAAAAAAAATAGAGCTAGTATCACACCTAACGGGGAGAAACACAAAGCTTTCCTGCCAAGGGAAAGGACAAGACAAGGATCTCTCTTCTCACTGCTTCTTTTCAACATCATCCCGAAAGTCAAAACTAACTCAATGTGAGAAAAAAGTGAGACAAGAAGTAAACTGATTAGGAAGAAGGAATTAAACCAATCTTTGTTCACAGAAGACATGATGATCAATATGGAAGAGTCAGAAAAAAATGAACAAAAAAAATCCTGGTATTCATAAGTGATTATGACAAAGTTGTATTATATAAGGTTAATATATAAAATGCAATCACTTTCTCATATACCAGCAATGAACAAGTGGAAGTTGAGTATCGTTTATATTCCGAAGTTGAAATACTTAGTCATGTATGTAATAAAATATGCACAAAATCTCTATAAAGATGATTGCAAAACTGTAAAAAGAGCTAAATAGAAAGATATTCTGTTAATGGATGCACAGAATTAACATTGTAAATATGCTAGGACTTCCCAACTTGTTCTATAGATTTAATGCAATTCTAATTAAAAATCATAGCGAATTATTTTGTGGATATCAACAAATTGACTCTAAAGTTTTAATGGGGAAGCCAAAGACTCTAAGTAGATAATAAAGTCAATAGATTAGCACTACTCTATTTCCAGATTCACTATAAAGCTACAGTAATCAAGGCAATGTAATATTGATCAAAAACTAGACAGTCAAATGGAGCCTAATAGAATCCAAGTACAGAATACAATAAATACATTTAACAGTTCTTTTACCAGTGTTGTATCTTTTTAGATACAACACTGAAAGCATTATCCTTGAAAGACATAATTTATAATCTGGATTTTTTTACAATTAATAACTTATGCTCTATAAAAGACATTGTCAAAAGAATCATACAAACTGGAAATCCATGGAAAATATCTTCAAGACTGATACTTAAAATGTTCCAAAAATTCTTAAAATTCAATAATAAGAAAATAAAACATTTTAGCCGGTGCCACGGCTCAATAGGCTAATCCTCCGCCTGCGGCGCAGGCACACTGGGTTCTAGTCCCGGTCGGGGCGCCGGATTCTGTCCCGGTTGCCCCTCTTCCAGGCCAGCTCTCTGCTGTGGCCCAGGAGTGCAGTGGAGGGATGGCCCATGTGCTTGGGCCCTGCACCCCATGGGAGACCAGGAGAAGCACCTGGCTCCTGCCATCGGATCAGTGCGGTGCGCCAGCTATGGCGGCCATTGGAGGGTGAACCAATGGCAAAGGAAGACCTTGCTCTCTGTCTCTCTCACTGTCACTCTGCCTTTCAAAAAAAAAAAAAAAAAAAGAAAGAAAGAAAGAAAGAAAGAGAAAAGCAAAAAGAAAAGAAAACATTTTAATATTCAAAATGGCCAAAAGGGCAGAGATACGGTACAGCAGATGGGTGTGCACGGGCGCCGGGCGTCACCTGTGCCTGGACGCCAGTCCCAGCCCTTCCCCTGACTGCAGCTTCCCGCTGACGCCCACTCTGGGAGCGGCAGGTGATGACTCCAGCTCTTGGGCCCTGGCCCTCCACTTGGTTTCAGTTCCCAGCTCCAAGCTTCAGCCTGGCCCAGTCCCAGCCATTGTGGCCATTTGGGGAGTAAACCAGCATATGAGAGAGCACTCTTTATCTATCAGTATCTCATTTTCTCTGCCATTCAAATCAACACATACATACATAAAAACTTTCAAAAAGGTGTAAGACTGAATAGACACCTCACCAAGAACAAGACATTGTTGTCAAATGAGTGTATGAAAAGTTACTCAACGTCATACGTAAATTGGTCTGTTTTCCATTGCTATAACCAAATACCTTAAGCTAAGTAAGTGTAAAGAAAGGTGGTTTATTTAGTTCTCAGTTCTGGAGCTTCAAGAGCATAGCATTAGTATCAGCTCAGCTCTACTGAGGACCTTATGGCGTCACTGTGGTGGGAGAATGGGAGAGAAGAAGACACCACGTGATGACTCAGGAAGCCCGAGGGAAGAGGCTCTTCTGTAATACTGCTCTTGTGAGAACGCAGGTCCCATGCAAATTACCTTAGCCCCTTTGCAGGGCAGCACTGTCAGTGACTTAGGGACCTTCCCCTAGGCTTCACCTCCCCAAGGCCCCACAACCTCTCAACAATGCCACATGGAGACTCAGAACCCCGGAACGGAAGCCCCACCATAACCATAGCAATACTTCAGGGAATTACAGATTGAAATAACCAAGCGATAGCACCACATACTTCTTAGAATGGTCAAAATCCAAAAGACTAACAAAACCAAATGCTACCAACAATGGGGAGTAACAGGAGCTGTCATTCACTGCTGGTGAAAATGCAAAATGGTACAGCTACTTTCAAACATGATCTGGAAGTTCTTAAAAAACTATACATACTTTTCCAATAGTATCCAACAATCACATTCCTTTGTATTTCCCAAATGAGTTGAAAAGTTGTGTCTACAGAAAACTTGCACATGGATATTTATAGCAACTTCATTCATAATTGCCAAAACTGAAGCAACCATGCTGTTCTTCAGAATATGAGTGACGAAATCCAGAAATGGAATACTGTTCAGTTGTAAAGAGAAGTGAGCTATCAAGGCACACAAAGACATGGAGGACATTTAAATGCATTTTACTCAATGAAATCAGTCAATCAGAAAAGGCAACATAATGTATCATTCCAATCATACGGCATTCTAGAGAGAGCAGAACTATGGAGACAGGAAGAAATTGTGAGTTTCCAGGAGTAAAAGGGATGAGGCATGAATATGCACAGTACAGAGAACGTTGAAAGGGTTAGGGTTAGGGTTAGGGTTAGGGTTAGGGTTAGGGTTACTCTGCACAGTAGTATCAATGGTGGATACATACCACTATCATTTGTTTACATTGCACGTAGAATGTGCAACACCGAGAGTGAACTCGGATGTACTCTTCAGCCTTTGGTGATAATGATAAATCAGTATAGGTTTACTGATTATAAAGAATGCACCGTTCTGGTTTGGGATTTTGACAGTGGCGAAGCTGTACACATGCCAGTAGCAAGAGATACATACGGCATCTCTATACCTTGTACCTCATTTTGCTGTGTACCTAAACTTGCTTTAAAACATCTATTTACAAAAACAAGGGGAAAAAAATCCCATATCCTTAGCAGTCACTTCTCATTGCTTTATCCTTCCAACACCAGGCAACCACTAATCTATTTTCTGTCTGAGAATTTGCTTATCCTGGACATTTCTCATAAATGCAACAATGTGTAATATTTTGTGACTTGCCTTTGTGATTTAGCATAATGTTTTCAAGGTTCATCCATCTTACAACATATATTAATATTTAATTTCTTATTGCAAATAGTATCTGTATAGCTACATCATAGTCTAGCCATTCATACATTGGTGGACATTTGGGTCATTTCTAGTTCCTCAGCTATTATGAATAATGCTGCTATGAACATTCATGTATAAGTTTCCTTGTGGACATATGTTTTCCTTTCTTTTGGATGAATACCTAGTAGTGGAACTGCCAGGTTGTCTGGTAACTACTCCATGTTTAGCTTTTTGAGGAACTGCCAAATGGGTTCCCAAAGCAGCTGCACATTTTACATTCCTCACGGAATGTTAAGAGGGTTCCAATTTTTCCACTATTATGTGTCATTTTGATTATGCATATCCAAGTTGATGTGAAATGGTACCTCACTGTGGTTTGGACTTACATTTCAAAATGACTATGCCATTGAGCAAAGTTTCACGTGCTTAATGGATGTTTGTATTTGTTTGGAGAAATATCTA